GTAAAAAATGTTATATCTAATAATTTTTATAATTCAACTCAACATGCTTCATACATCATTTTAAAGAGAAATGTTTCAGCTTTAATTTGATATCAAAATTATTTCTTAATTTCCATAATTAACACTTCCGCAATTTTTTAAATTTCACCTTGTATTTTGACATTTTGAAATTAAGCTTAAAATGTAAAAAGTGTTATATCTAATAATTTTTATAATTCAACCCTACATGTTTCATACATCATTTTAAAGAGGAATATTTCAACTTTAATTTGGTACTAGGATCATTTCTTAATTTCCATAATTAACCCTTCCACAGTTTTTTAAGTTTCACGTTGTGTTTTGACATTTTGAAATTAAGCTTAAAATTTAAAAAATGCTATATCTAATAATTTTTATAATTCAACCCAAGATGTTTCATACATCATTTTAAAGAGGAATGTTTCAGCTTTAATTTGATAGCAAAATCATTTCTTAATTTCCATAATTAACCCTTCCACAGTTTTTTAAGTTTCACCTTGTATTTAGACATTTTGACATTAAGCTTAAAATGTAAATAGTGTTATATCTAATAATTTTTATAATTCAACTCAACATGCTTCATACATCATTTTAAAGAGAAATGTTTCAGCTTTAATTTGATACCAAAATCATTTCTTAATTTCCATAATTAACCCTTCCATAGTTTTTTAAGTTTCACCTTGTATTTTGACATTTTGAAATTAAGCTTAAAATGTAAAAAATGTTATATCTAATAATTTTTATAATTCAACCCAACATGTTTCATACATCATTTTAAAGAGGAATGTTCCAACTTTAATTTGGTACCAAAATCATTTCTTAATTTCCATAATTAACCCTTCCACAGTTTTTTAAGTTTCACCTTGTATATTGACATTTTGAAATTAAGCTTAAAATGTAAAAAATGTTATATCTAATAATTTTTATAATTCAACCCAACATGTTTCATACATCATTTTAAAGAGAAATGTTTCAGCTTTAATTTAATACCAAGATCATTTCTTAATTCCCATATTTAACCCTTCCGCAATTTTTTAAGTTTCACCTTGTATTTTGACATTTTGAAATTAAGTTTAAAATTTAAAAAAAATGTTATATCTAATAATTTTTATAATTCAACCCAACATGTTTCATACATCATTTTAAAGAGGAATGTTCCAACTTTAATTTGGTACTAGAATCATTTCTTAATTTCCATAATTAACCCTTCCACAGTTTTTTAAGTTTCACCTTGTATATTGACATTTTGAAATTAAGCTTAAAATGTAAAAAGTGTTATATCTAATAATTTTTATAATTCAACCCTACATGCTTTATACATCATTTTAAAGAGAAACGTTTCAGCTTTAATTTGATACCAAAATCATTTCTTAATTTCCATAATTGACCCTTCCACAGTTTTTTAAGTTTCATCTTGTATTTTGACATTTTGAATTTAAGCTTAAAATGTAAAAAATGTTATATCTAATATTTTTTATAATTCTACCCTACATATTTCATACATCATTTTAAAGAGGAATGTTTCAACTTTAATTTGGTACTAGAATCATTTCTTAATTTCCATAATTAACCCTTCCACAGCTTTTTGAGTTTCATGTTGCGTTTTGACATTTTGAAATTAAGCTTAAAATTAAAAGAAAGTGTTAGATCTAATAAAAAAAGGCCTTTTGGAAAAGAAAAGCTTCATGATTTTCAGGAATATATATATAATCCTGTAGTTCCAAGATTCTTCTCTATTCCTCTTCTTCTATGTTGAGGTACATATCCAAGAATTCCTTTTAGCCATCGGTTTTCAGACATCCATCACAACCCAAGAGACTTTTAAAGTTTTGAGTTTCTCAGAGCTGCCCTTATTTCTTCAGCATAGTCAAATCTATATACAATCTGTTCGTAAAGCAGTTATGCACTTTTGACATATCAAGAAATTAATAAAGCAAGATAGAAATGTGAAACCTTCACCAAACAAAAAGAAAACTCTCCTAATTTTATTTGGACCAATCCTCCGGTTTGACACCTTTTCTAAACGAACCATTTCAACTCCAAAATATAAAACTGTAAACAAGATCTATTAATAAATTGTTATTCGAAAATTTTCAAGATTCTTTTATCTTTAGATGTAAAGATATTCGATAACGTCCTTGTTGGGTATAAAAATGTTTGCAAATGCGATACGATTCAAGTACCAAAGAAATGTTCTCGATCACTTTATTAACAATTATTTCTATTAGTTGTGTTTTTGCACAACCAATAAATTCTGAACCTTTCGCCGATCTTCATCCCGATGTTGGATTGAGTGTGGTAAGAACAACAAAAAATCGAGGAAATTTATCTGCTTAAGATTATCTTCAGATTGAGTTGATCCAAAAATATAAATACCCGATTGAAAGGCACAGGAACATCGAAACCGATGATGGATATCTTTTAGAAATGCATAGAATTCCTTATGGATTGAAAAGTGGGCCCGCTGAAAATAAACCTGTCGTTTTTGTGATGCACGGTCTTTTGAGTTCATCGGCAGATTGGGTTAATATGGGTCCAGAGAAAAGTTTAGGATTTCTCTTAGCCGATTTGGGTTATGACGTTTGGATGGGAAATGCTAGAGGAACAACATATTCAAGAAATCATATTTCTTTGGATCCTGATAAATATAAATCTGATTTTTGGGATTTTTCGTATAATATTTGAAATAATTTTAAGATAAAAATTAATTTTACTTATTTTTAGTTGGAATGAAATTGGAGAATATGATTTACCAGCTATGATCGATTACGTTTTAAGCTACACAAAACAAGAAAAACTATTCTATATAGGCCACTCCCAAGGAACAACTAGCTTTTACGTAATGTGTTCAGAAAAACCAGCTTATAACAATAAAATTCGTGTTATGATCTCTTTAGCACCGGTTGCGTATATGGACCATATGGAGAATCCATTGTTTAGATTTGTAGCTGCTTTTGATGGTCCTTTAGAGGTTTGTTTAAATTAATTTAATCTAATCAAGATTGTTTTAAATTAATTTTAGTTTCTCACACAATTAATCGGAATCGCCGAATTTTTACCAGACATTGAATTCTTAGGGTCGATTGGAAAAGTTTTTTGTAAAGATGGTGCGATTTTCCAAGAAGTTTGTGCCGGAGTTATCTTTCTAATCGGAGGATTTGATTCTGAACAATTAAACAGAACCATGATTCCAGTTATTATGACCAATACCCCAGCGGGAGCTGCTACGAAACAACTTCTTCACTATGCCCAAGATATAAATTCAGGCGAATTTAGAAAATACGATTACGGTTTAATTCAAAATTTAATCAAATATGGTTCTGTTTCGCCTCCATCTTACAATTTAAACAAAATTACAGCTCCTGTTGCTATGATTTATAGCAAAAATGATTGGTTAGCAGCGACTGTTGATGTGGAAAGGTTGGCAAAAGAACTTCCAAATATGGTGTATAAATATTTAATTCCTTTTGAGAAATTTAATCATCTCGACTTTTTATGGGCGGTTGATATAATTCCTTTGGCGTATAATTATGTTTTTGATTTACTTAAGCAATATTAATGTTTTTAAATAAAGATTAAAAAAAATTTATTTGCAATTAAAAAGGAATTTAACTAATTTTAATCTCTTGCTTAGTTCCTGTTTTATTTTCAATCTTTCTTCAGTTTTCTTTTTTATTTCCAGTCTCCTTTCCGTTTTTTAAGTTTCACCTTGTATTTTGACATTTTGAAATTAAGTTTAAAATGTAAAAAGTGTTATATCTAATAATTTTTATAATTCAACCCTACATATTTCATACATCATTTTAAAGAGAAATGTTTCGACTTTAATTTGGTACTAGAATCATTTCTTAATTTCCATAATTGAACCTTCCACAGTTTTTTGAGTTTCACGTTGTGTTTTGATATTTTGAAATGAAGCTTAAAATATAAAAAGTGTTATATCTAATAATTTTTATAATTCAACCCAACATGTTTCATATATCATTTTAAAGAGAAATGTTTCAGCTTTAATTTGATACCAAAATCATTTCTTAATTTCCATAATTAACCCTTCTACAATTTTTTAAGTTTCACCTTGTATTTTGACATTTTGAAATTAAGCTTAAAATGTAAAAAATGTTATATCTAATAATTTTTATAATTCAACTCAACATGTTTCATACATCATCTTAAAGAGAAATGTTTCAGCTTTAATTTGATACCAAAATCATTTCTTAATTTCCATAATTAACCCTTCCACAGTTTTTTGAGTTTCACCTTGTATTTTGACATTTTGAAATTAAGCTTAAAATGTAAAAAGTATTATATCTAATAATTTTTATAATTCAACTCAACATGTTTCATACATCATTTTAAAGAGAAATGTTTCAGCTTTAATTTCGTACCAAAATCATTTCTTAATTTCCATAATTAACCCTTCCGCAATTTTTTAAGTTTCACATTGTATTTTGACATTTTGAAATTAAGTTTAAAATGTAAAAAATGTTATATCTAATAATTTTTATAATTCAACCCAACATGTTTCATATATCATTTTAAAGAGGAATGTTTCAGCTTTAATTTGATACCAAAATCATTCCTTAATTTCCATAATTAACCCTTCCGCAATTTTTTATGTTTACCGTGTATTTTGACATTTTGAAATTAAGCTTAAAATGCAAAAAGTGTTATATCTAATAATTTTTATAATTCAACCCAACATGTTTCATACATCATTTTAAAGAGAAATATTTCAGCTTTAATTTGATACCAAAATCATTTCTTAATTTCCATAATTAACCCTTCCACAGATTTTTAAGTTTCACCTTGTACTTTGATATTTTGAAATTAAGCTTAAAATGTAAAAAGGCATTATATCTAATAATTGTTATAATTCAACCCAACATGTTTCATACATCATCTTAAAGAGAAATGTTTCAGCTTTAATTTGATACCAAAATCATTTCTTAATTTCCATAATTAACCATTCCACAGTTTTTTAAATTTCACCTTGTATTTTGACATTTTGAAATTAAGGTTAAAATGTAAAAAATGTTATACCTAATAATTTTTATAATTCAACCCAACATGTTTCATACATCATTTTAAAGAGAAATGTTTCAGCTTTAATTTGATACCAAAATCATTTCTTAATTTCCATAATTAACCCTTCCACAGTTTTTNAATTTTATTATTAAAAATAATCACACGTGTTGTTTTCAAAATATATTTTTATTAAGATATATTATTTATATACATATATATATGATCTACTTCGAGAGAAAACCATTTCACCCTGTATTTTGACATTTTGAAATTAAGCTTAAAATGTAAAAAATGTTATATCTAATAATTTTTATAATTCAACCCTACATGTTTCATACATCATTTTAAAGAGGAATGTTTTAACTTTAATTTGGTACTAGAATCATTTCTTAATTTCCATAATTAACCCTTTCACAGTTTTTTGAGTTTTACGTTGTGTTTTGACATTTTGAAATTAAGCTTAAAATTTAAAAAAAGTGTTATATTTAATAATTTTCATAATTCAACCCAACATGTTTCATACATCATTTTAAAGAGAAATGTTTCAGCTTTAATTTGATACCAAAATCATTTCTTAATTTCCATAATTAACCCTTCTGCAATTTTTTAAGTATCACCTTGTATTTTGATATTTTGAAATTAAGTTTAAAACGTAAAAAGTGTTATATCTAATAATTTTCATAATTCAACCCAACATGTTTCATACATCATTTTAAAGAGAAATGTTTCAGCTTTAATTTGATACCAAAATCATTTCTTAATTTCCATAATTAACCCTTCTGCAATTTTTTAAGTATCACCTTGTATTTTGATATTTTGAAATTAAGTTTAAAACGTAAAAAGTGTTATATCTAATAATTTTCATAATTCAACCCAACATGTTTCATACATCATTTTAAAGAGAAATGTTTCAGCTTTAATTTGATACCAAAATCATTTCTTAATTTCCATAATTAACCCTTCTGCAATTTTTTAAGTATCACCTTGTATTTTAACATTTTGAAATTAAGTTTAAAACGTAAAAAGTGTTATATCTAATAATTTTCATAATTCAACCCAACATGTTTCATACATCATTTTAAAGAGAAATGTTTCAGCTTTAATTTGATACCAAAATCATTTCTTAATGTCTATAATTAACCCTTCCACAGTTTTTTAAATTTCACCTTGTATTTTGACATTTTGAAATTAAGTTTAAAATGTAAAAAATGTTGTATCTAATAATTTTTATAATTCAACCCTACATGTTTCATACATCATTTTAAAGAGAAATGTTTCAGCTTTAATTTGATACCAAAATCATTTCTT